ATAAATTATATAAGAGATATACCTCCAAATTTAAATTTAAAATTTTTAATTCTTTATCCATAAAGCCACCTCTAATCCTTCTTTTTAGTAGAATAAACCTTCTCTCCGATCTTCTCCTCCCAGAAAACGTCGAGAGAAAAAAGCTCTTTCTTCTCTCTTTTCAGACTTTTCCTGTTGCAGATCCGCTCTACTGCTGGTGCTAGTATTGCAATGTGCTTCATCTTTCGGGGATTTACGGGGTTTATCTAGGGTTTAGTGTTTCTGTTTCGTGATGGCGAAGAAAGCGACTGATTTGGGCTTTTCCGAGGCGTTCAAGGAAAATTTTAGAACAATTGCTGATCAACTTCATGATAATGCTTCTTCGATTCTATCGCAGATTGAGAACTATATCGTTTCCAGTGAAAATCAGTTGCAACAATGCTTCAATGAGCTGAGGTTAAGAGAGGAGTCGGTTGAACGAAGGGCTGAGGAGCTGGATGTGAGAGAAAAGGAGATTCAAGAATCGGTCAGAGAGAAGATGAAAGAGGTTGATTTGTCACGGGAATTGGCTCGGAGGAAGTTGGAAGAACTTGGGGATAAAGAGGATGAATTGTTTTGGACTGAAAAGTTGAATCAAGAACAGATTATAGAGATTAGTTCGATGGGAGAAGCAGTTGATGTTAAACTGGCGGAGTTGAACTTAAAGGAGGAGAAATTTTTGTTGAAACAGAAGTCTTTTGAGAAACGTTGTAAAGATCTTGAGTTGAAAGAGAAGCTTTTCGAAGAACGTAATTCGGCGATGATAGCTAAAGAAAAGAGTTGTGAAGAAAATTGCAGGGAAGTTGAATTAAAGGAGAAAAGAGTGGAAGAATTATCTGAAGAGCTTAGGAAGAAACAAAAGTCTTTTGGGAAAAGCTGCAACGATCTTGAGCTGAAAGTGAAGCGTTTTGAGGAACTTTATTCAGGGATGATAACTCAAAAAAAGAGCTATGAAGAAAGTTGCAGGGAAATTAAATTGAAGGAGAAAAAAATGGAAGAGCTCAGGAAGGAATATGAATCGAAATCTGAAGAGCTTGAACATCATTTTAATCAATGTGAGAAGCGGTTTCAACAGATTGAAATTCAGGAGGGGAAATTGAAATTGAAGAAGAAGAAACTTAAAGAATGGTCTGAGGAACTTGAATTGAAGGAGAAGAGGCTTGCTGATATCCCACATTCTCATGGGGAACTTGAGACAACAGAAGATTCAGTGGAAGGAAACACTGCAATCCTTCGTTTTTTTGTAGAAATGGATGGAAAGGACTTGCAGATTTTCCTAAATGAGCGCTTGAATGAGCATGCTGTAATGCGTGATGACATGGCACAGGCTCTTCGATTTTCATCTAACCCTGCTAAGCTAGTCTTGGATGCAATAGATGGATTTTATCCTCCATATTTGAAGAAGGGGGATAGAGAGTTTGAAGGAGATACAGTTAAGAGTAGTTGCATCCTCTTATTAGAGCAGTTGAGAAAATTTTCACCTGAAATCAAACCCCAGGTTAGAGAAGAAGCAAAGAAAGTTGCCATTGATTGGATCACAACAATGGGAAAAGATGCTAGCTATCCTTTGGAGGTTTTGGGATTCCTGCATCTTCTGGCCTGTTTCAGATTAGCTGATGATTTTGGTGATGATGAGCTCTTCAATCTTTATAAGAAAGTTCCTCAAGATAGTCAAGATGCTGAACTATTGCAGGCCCTTGGTCTTGCTCATAAGACTTCAAGTAATTGCTTCTAAACATTGGCTTAATATGGTGTTTCTGAAATTTCTAGGCGTTTTACATACATGTATAGATTTTTCCTTATGGTCAGCATGCTCCTCCCTTCTTTTCTGAACTTGCAAAAGATGATCTCTTTCTTTGAATTGCCACGATATTTTCAAGTACATTCAACTCTATGGTTATTAACAAGAATAGAGGAAAAGGAAAAGCTGCAGAAGTAATTAATTTATGTCTAAAGAATGCTAGGATTTATGCTCAGTAGATGTCTGTTGCCCTTATATTCTTATTTTCATCTCAAGAAGAATTCTTTTTCATATGTTACCATTTGACAGAGTATGTGACTTTGCTACATATAACAGGTTTTATTCAAGATCTGATTCAAGGGAACCAGCATGTGGAGGCAATTAGATATATTTCCAAATTTGGTTTAGTTAATGAGTTCCCAATATTACCAATATTGGAAGATTACTTTAGGCATTCAGTGGTGGAATCTAAAGATACTTTGAATGATGGAAACAAGACACTTGAAGCATTGGTACGTCTGCCTCTTTTTTTGTTTCTTTATTATCACCTACGTCCTAATTTAATCCAGATGTCATAATGTGTGTACACTCTTTTATGACTTGCTATCAGAATGGAGCAACAAGCAAAAAATTAGAGGACTTGAAGGATGTCTTAAGATGTATTGTGGATCACAAGCTTGAATCTGAAGCATCTCCTGAACACCTTGAGGTTCTTAAGAATAAAATTGCTTCACTAGAAAAACAAAATGCCGATGTGGATTTGACTTTGCCAATTGACTCCAATGATCAACCACCTTCTCCAAGTGAGAAGAGATACATTGCAGCTACCCCTGCCCCTGCCTCTGCCCTTACCCTTGAATCTCCATCACAACAGCAGAGAGGTATCAATCATCAGTGTACAATAGAATTAGCGGAAGCTGTTCCTGATGTTGTCGATCCTACTTGCACTAATCCCCCTGTTCAACTGCCTAGTCAGCAGTCAACAATATCATCAACCAATACAGGTAAAGGTCACATTCTCACATTAGTTGGATTTGCATAGGACTGTTGGCTTTGCTAGCTATCTGCATTTTCTTGTTCATGACAGCTAGACATAATAATGAGAAATCTGTTCTTTCTGAAATGAATTATTCACTAATGTGTCTTTTGTGTAATATTTGACCTCAATATTATCATTTTTCACGCATTTGAATTCCTAACTTCCTAATGAATGAAAAATCTACTCTATTCCCTTCTTTTTTTGGGCCTATTAATTGTCTATTCTATCCCATTTTATTTCATCAATATTGTATGCACATTAATCCTATTTAAACTAATATTTTACCTTGTGTGAAACATCCAAAAGTCTGTTCCTTGTTACAACTACCTCAGATGAAATTTTTTTTAATAGGGCTGGAGATTTATTTATGTGGTTTGTCAGTCTGCATCAGTAGATTTCTTATCAAGTCTGGCATTTTTGCATCAGGAATCTGGTACTTTGAAATAATGCTGCATCCATTTTATATATCCTTCTTCGCATACAGAGAAAAAAAAACTTTTCAAGTACTTGAGTCTCAAACCACCCAACCAGGTGGATGATGCTTAGATGGTTTAATTAAATAGTAAGGACTTTGGATCCTTGATTTTGTGGACCAATGTTATGCAAGTACTAAACTTGGTCCTACTATCATTTTGTTTGTTTAGCCAGCTGCATTGTGCCTACCCATGGTACGATGGAGGAATGCTTACCAACAAATCCACAATTGGAAAGCAGAAAGGTTTCTTCATCTGGAGGTCCTCAACAGGTGCATCATTTTGATACTAGTTCAGATGGAGATGTTTTGAGATTCTTACTACAAAAGCCCAAGAAAGTTAAAGTAACAGGTAGTGAAATCATGGATGCTCTTCAGTTAGTATCGGATCCAGCAAGACTTGTTTTAGAGGTCGTGTTTGGTTGTGGTTCTTCAAACATGGAGAAAAATGAGGGTTTTGATTTATGTGTACCTCAAAAGCGTTGCATTTTATTGCTGGGGCTGTTAAGGAGAATCTTGCCAAAAATTAAGCAACAGGTGAAAGACGAAGCAAAGAAATATGCAATGAACTGGCAACGGAAATTGGTAAAGAAGAGAGAAGGTTTGGAAGTCACATGTTTTCTGCAATTTTTGGCTGCCTATCGTTTAGCTACTATTTTTAAACAACACGAGCTTCTTGATCTATTGGATAATAATCACTGGCGTCAAATGGCTCCTGATTTATGTCAAGTTCTTGGTTTGGAGAATGCAATTCCCAGTAAGTTTTCTCCCCCTCTCTCTTGAATTATGTCATCTTTTATTTGCACTTTTAATTGATGGTATCCCTTTTTATTTTTCATTGTTGATTTGTTTTTCATTGGGGTTCCAAATATAACTGGATTATCTTCTTTGACTGGGATCAACGGACTATCTCAGTGATTTAGAATCATCTAAACTTGCTTGTAGATTGTGTATGACCCTTCCATGGGCTACATTGCAACTAAAACTTTAGATGCAACATAAATAACCAACCAAAATTACTATTTATAAGTTCATTTTCTTTCAATTTCTCTTAAATATTTTATTAAAAATCTTCTGATGTCATAGAAATGTAAAATTGTTCGGATCAGTTGCCTTTGGAAACTGTTTAACATTTTGGGTCAAATGCTACAATATGGTTAAATATTAATTGAGAAATGATATAGTGGAAACTTAACAAGTGCAGCATTCTTAGGTGTTACATTGTTGTTGTACTCTCAGTAGCAAGTGTAATTAAGAATTTCGTTGATAATTTTAATGTATAACATTAATAATGGAGTACCTCGCTACTTTTACTGAGAAAAAGGAATGAATATAATTACTCTTGCATTCTATTCCCTATATCTTTGCTACATTATTATTTTCTGAATTTAATGCGAGCACTTCTAATGGGAAATAATTACTCAGAACTCTCAATTTCTGCTTTGGGTGCAGAGTTTATTAAAAAGCAAATTAACAAGGGTTTGCATCTTGAAGCTGTTAAGTATATCTGTTCACTAGATATGGTTCACAAGTTCCCACCGTTACCTCTTCTGAAAAAGCACTTGGAGAATTTAAAGAAGGCTGCCAGGAATGCATGCAGGAAAAGGAAGAAGAACGTTCCAGCAAAGGTAAGGCTACTACTTCTATTTGATCCTTACCAGCTGTATAATCCCATTTATAACTTTGTGTTAACCTTGCCACAGATTAGCGCCATACAAAAAGAGTTAGATGACATTAAGATTGTAAAAAGATTGCTTGTGAATTATAAGCTTGAATCCGAAGTTCTTGGTGATGTGCTCAAGAACCGCGTTGCACAACTGCAAAAGGAGAAGGCCAAGAAAAAATCTGGGCTTCCAACTGTACTGAACACACAAGCTCAGAAACACGGTGGGAATGAGAAGGCAGATCAACAATTTGGGCTTCCAACCACACTCGAGACACTACCTCTACAATGGAGTGGAAATGAGAATGGGGAGAAACAACCCGAGCATCCAGCTGTACTAGAGACGAAATCTCAACCGCAAAGTGGAAATGAGAAGGCGGAGAAACAACCTGAGCATCCAACTTTATTTGAGACAAATTCTCAACAGCGAAGTGGAAATGAGAAGGCTGAGAAACAATCTGAGCATCCAACTTTATTCGAGACAAATTCTCAACAGCAAAGTGAAAATGAGACGGCCGAGAAACAATCTAAGCGTCCAACTTTATTAGAGACACAACCTCAACAACATTGCGGAAATAAGCGTCCTCGGACTCATGCATCATCCCCTAGGCACTCGATGCAGGCGGGGCCCCAACTGTCACAAGATTCCATGATTGAAGCCATGCCACAACTGAGTAAAGGAACTACAGAAACTGGCTTGGCGGACTACCGTAACGCTAACAGGCACATGAGTCAAAACCTTGGTAATTTTTCTTACCATAATTGGAATATGCATCCTGGCTGTGGCAATAGGCAGCTGCCACCTTTTGGCAGCCCTGTGGATGGACCACCTGGCGATGGTCATTGGTCACTGCCCTTCGGGGGTCCTAAGGATGCATCACCGCTCCTGCCGCCCCTTGGTTGTTACCGTGGACCAGTGCCTTGCCGTGGCTTTGGGGTTCCTGAGGTTGACGTACCATCGCCATTGCCACCAGGCCCACCACCGCAGCTACTACCAGGTCGGCCACCATCTCTGCCTCCATCTAGTTTTCACCATCAACCAATGCCTTGTGGTGGCTTTAGGGTTCCTAAGGTTGCAGGCCCACCGCCGCAGTTGGTACCAAACCTGCAGCCACCCCTGCCACCAGGCCTACCACCCGCTTCGTCTCGACCTTGTTTCCGCCATCTACCAATGCCTTACTGTCCCAAGGATGCACCAGTACCCACACCACCTTTTTTTCACCATGGTCAAGTGCCTTTCAATGGCTCTAATTTACCACGGACTTAAAAATCTGTTTTTGTTGGTAATACAGTTTATTTTTTGGCCCTTGCTGATTCAGTGGTTGGCTTACTTCTGTTTTCATGGTCGTATTCCGTTAATTTATTTTGTAAACTGCACTTCTACTTTGAACTTGATGTAGCATCTGATAAGTTTTTTTTTACTAACTTTTCGCTATTCAGTAATTATATTAGATCTCGATTAATTTGAAATAGAGTCATATCAGACTGCATTAGGGGGAAAGCTCTTCCAATACTTGTTTTTTCATTCACAAGACTCGAATTTAAGATGGGAAACCAAACTTCTTTTCTTTGAATCAATTTTACATAAGGAGAACCGAATTCTTTTCATTTGGACCTATAGGTTGTTGGTAGCATTTGATAAGTTATTTATAAAGAACAAAGCTTTTTTATTCCCAAATGAACATCATAAAACATTATCTCTTTACTTAAAGCAAACAAAGAGAGCCAACATTATCTGTTACCGATGTGAGTGGTATGGGGTTGTAATTTTATGGATGACTCCATATTTGTTTTTAAAGTGTATCAAATTGTTTATTACAAAAATATTTTCTCTAATGACTAATGATTACCCTAAGGGTGTCAAATCAAGTAAATACATTTTTATTTAAGAACTGAACAATTACTTTAACATCATTAGTTAGTAAAATTATAGCCTTTACCCATTTAAAAATATAATTCACAGTTAGCAAGATATATTGATTTGAAAAATGAAAAAGTGGAAAAAGTCCTACCAAGATATATTGATTTAAAAAAGTATGTGAAAAGGCCCCATGAAAGTAACACTCAAAACATCAAATAATTCTTAAAAAATCATGTTGTTTAAAAGGTATCTCAATTTTCTTAGAAATATTCACACTTCTTTCGCATTGATCAAATGAGGCAACATAAAAATAACTCTAAAATATTTGGCTAATAAAAACTTGATTCTAGAACCTTAGCTGCAATTTTGGAAGTTCCAAAGTGACCTCGGGCCTCTCAATTTATGTCAATGATGGAGTATACTTGGCACTTCCTTTTATGGAACTTATTTCCTGAATTTTGATAATATAAGATACACATAATTTACATAAGAAAAGTCCCTCTGAAAAATAATGTTTAACAGTAAAAAAGATATATATATATATATTTTAACTTTTGTTAGTAAGACAAATCAAGGGGATCAATGTTTCTTGCCAAGTCATTTGCAAAATTAGCATACCAAGGAATAGTTGTCACCTAAATGGAAAGAAGTTGCTCATCTGAAAATTCTTCTTAGATCGGAAATTCATCATCTTTCTTGGCTAGGACTCTCAATTCTTGACAAGTGATCAACAACTAAATTCTTAGTGCCATTTTTGTCTTTTATCTCTTGGTCAAATTCTTGATGGAGTAAAATTCATTGAATTAACCTAAATTTTGCATCATTCTTTGCAAGCAAATACTTAAGAGCTAAATAGCAAAAGTTGGTAAAAGCCTTTTAAATTGGTATTCATTTGCTATATAAATCATCAAGTTAATTTGCATCAAATTAAGTGATTAGGAAAACTAAAAAGAATACTCCCTCCATGTAGTCCTAATTTTTGATACCAAAACAATTTGGGGATTGTTTAAAACTCCATAATTAGGTGTTAAAATAGCACACGTACTCCTAATAAAAGTTTTATCACATTTATAAATAGAATAGAGTAATAGACATAAAGTTAGAATAATAGCATTTAATGCCTCATATAAATGAAAAGTGAGACAATTAAATTGGAACATTTTGGGTTAGACAACTAAGGCTTTATTTGTCAATGTTATCTACTTTGCTATGCTACACTGTGGCTATAATTGTTGGTTGTTTTGTCTTTTATCATCTCAAAAGTGTTTTTGTTCTTCAATACAAATTACATTGTGTTGTCTCCAAAATCTCCCTTTATGGCTACGTGGCAGATAAGACTGCGAAGGTGTGCCACTCATTTTGCTCAAAGTGAGAAAGAAGGATTTCCGGTGACCCTTACTACATCCAAGTGTGGAACTCAACTACAAGTCGATGAAAGAGAACCGGTTAAATAAATTACGAGATGCGCCCTGGTTAAACGATTGTCGCAGAAACGGGGGTGCATTCCTGCATAAAGGTCCATAAATAATTGCCTTGGAAGAACATTAGGGACTTCCCACAAGTAGGGCCAAAATGTTAGTTTGTTGATCAAAATAAAAAAGGAAAATAAAGGAAAGGAGAAGAAAGAGAGTGCATGGCGAGAAAACTAAATTGTAGAGTAGAAGTGTGATGTTGCTGCGAAAGCATGAAAGTGTAAAGAATGAAATAAAAGATGAAGTATAAAACAAAACTTAAAAGAAGCTAAAAAGATGAATTTGGGGCAAAGTGTAGTAAATTGAATTACAGAAAACTAAACACATCGAGTGGAGATGTTCACAACGAAATAATAAAAGCCAGAGTTAAAACTAATGGCAGCGTAGAGCTAAAGACTAAATTAGGAAAGCTGTTTGAGAAAACTGTTTGAGAAAACTGGATCTAAATTAAGACATTGCTTGTAAAACTAAAATGTAGATAGCGTTGGGCTAGTTGTGTAAGAGGTTGGTCCTTTACTTCGTTTCTTCTCTACATACTTATAGTAATAAACACCCCTTGGCAGCATGCTTGGAGATCTATGGTAGCAATCTTGAAAAACCAATGGCAGCGTGTTATTTGAAACAAACTGATTATTCTGTTGATGATGTCGATTATCCTCTTGGAAGTTTGTAACAAGCCACGACTTTGTTGCAGTTGTGGAAATAACCACTCAACCTTATCCAGAGAGATTTACTCCAACTACTTTCAACTAATGAAATTCTTCCCAACATGGATGACAAGTGACACCATTCTATTTTTTTTTGCAAAAATGGGTGCAAACAATGCCCCCCAAAACTTGGTTACACGACTTCATGGAAGTGGAATCAAGTTTTTGAAAATTTTGTTCCTAGCACTCCACCTTGTTGCCACTATAAAGAAAGCATGATGTCTCCATGAATGTAGAAATTTGAGATTGTTGTTTTCTTCAACATAGCATGGAATATCATCTAACAAACACAACGGCTTCATAGAGAAATAAGCCAGCTAAAAGTGTATCTGTAAAAATGGAAAAATATAGCCTCCAAAAAGAACTATTCCATAAATTTCCTCTATTGGCTGACATGGAGACATAGATCAAGTACGCCTCCATAGAAAGCATAGTGTCTTAAAAGCAATGCCATCTCACAGCCTTCCTTAAAGCCGCTCAACTGCAAGATTATTCACACTAATTGTAGAAAATTAAAAACAAAAACTAAATTAAAGCTGATCTCCACCCAAACTTGACTTGAGCAAAGAGATTATTTCCACTTCGATCTACTACATGACTTACAAACCGAAAGGCAACATGGCTGAAAAGGTAAGCCATTTATTTTTGTGAGGTTTAGACTACCATCAAGGTTCCGTAACCAATATGTGCCTTCATCTAATGCCTTGTGCGTTTGCAAAGATTTCATATTGTTGGCAGAATGTCTCTTGAGTGACATGCTTTTAACTGCTAGCAACATGCCTCCCCTTGAAACAAAGGTTGCAACATCTTTTTTATGATCCCTCCCTTTGTTTTCTTTGGCAGACATGTTTTCTTTGTTCTTTGCTGCCTTTTTGCTACTAGAGGCCGCATCTTGCTTCCTTGTGAAAACAAAAGGGAGATTTGGAATGGAACTTGGAAGTTCAATAATAAACTCACCAAGGCTAATTTCGTTGCTACTAACATTAAGCTCCTTAGTTGCCTTTGAGTCATTTGACTTGAAAGGAACACGCTTGGCAGACGTCTTTGCAGACACGATTGCATTGACTAAATTTTGATTTGCCTTTTGAGAAGCTGCATTGTGTTTCTTCTTCTCCACCCAGATAAACCTTTGCTTCCCTAGAGGTTGTTGCCTTTGGGAAGCATGCACCTTGGCAACAGCATGCCTCTGACACTCTTTAACTCGTTTCTTTTGAAGTCGTCTCCGAAGAGTCTTAGGATTTTGTGTAAGGAACTCTGGGTGGGCCACCAGGTTTATATGGCAACAATGTCTAAATTAACTTTGTTTATGGAGGCAGCATTTGCACATGCCTTCATGCCTGTCTACGAGATCATGCCCCCCGTACCTCCATTCAGAGACATGGGTTTGTTGCTTTTGCTCCTTCTTTGGTGTCCAATTGAAGTTTTTAGATTTCATCTTCCTTCTTCGACTTGGCAGATGCGAGGGCATGGTGTTTCTTATACCACCTCCCATGTTATCCTTGTGGTTGCAAGGAAAATTTAGGAATTTTTTGTGAAAGCCACTTTGTAAAGAATTATTATTCCTTGAATATGGCCTATAGCATGTTGGACAACATGGTGGCCTACATGTCTCTTGAGTGTCCTTTGACAATTAGTCTACAAGTTGTTGAGGTGGACTAGGCTTGCACACATGCTTTTGTTGTGGCGGCATTGGTTGGACGTTTGGATTGGCATCAAGCTGCAACAGCACAAACCTTGCTGCCTCTTTAGTTGTAGCTTTGTGAACTTCATTAACAATAAGGTCTGGCAACCTTTGTTGTTTAATCTGACTAGGTTGCCCCTCGAGACTAGAAATAACTCCCCTCTTTAGACTAATGATTTTAAAAGGATATTTCACCTTCAGCCATTGTCCATAGTTGAACTTGGAAGGGCTTCGACCATTAAGAAAGCATGGTTGCCGCGAACACTTCTTAAGCAACGCAGAAGGAACAGGCTCGTTAGTCTCAAAAGAAGTAGAAATAGATGAGGTGGATACCTTATCAGAATTATGTACTGATGCTAGCCAAAATGGTGACTTTTGTCTGGCAACATCAACTTGTTATTGGCCATCAGATGGACCTTCATTGACGGATGGCTGACATATTTGCAATTGAGTTGGTTTATGCCTCCTAGGAGTAAGAGGCCTCTTGCTAGTATTAGTCTTTGCAGACTTAGAATGACTTGGAGGCATACTTGCTGAAGTTGCCTCCAGGGCCACATGGCGTTGCTGACTTTGGGTAGCACACTGCAATTGTGATTCATGCCTCGCGAGTGCGATCATGGGGTTACTCTTTGACCCTAGTGTCATTTGACCTTCATTTACAATGAGCATCTTTGTCACGTTTTGCGATTTGCAAAACTGCTTCAAAGTTCTTGGAGACATGGTTGCATGGCACTTCTTTGAATCCTTCATTAAAACCCCACTTTTGGGTTGAGGGGTTATAAGTTCTAGAAAATTTAATTTGCATCCTTTCCAATTTTCCTCCAAATTCCTCTTCCATTCATCATGAAACCTTTTAGATTTCTCAGCAATATCAACTATTATTTCAGCAAGTGATTTGGAAGACTCACTGCCCATTGTTGCCCTCTCATTATAAAGTGGATTGATATAAGAGGAAGTATGTGATGGAGTCATGAAGAGCTTTTGGCAGTCATAAAAAATAAGGACTTGCCATGGTGGCACAATCTGGTAGCAGAAGATACGATTAACAAACTTGTGAAAGCCCACAATGAGTCCCACCAGGCATGCCAAAAAGAGATTGTTGTCTCCAAAATCTCCCTTTATGGCTGCGTGGCAGATAAGACTACAAAGGCGTGTCACTCACTTTGCTCAAAGTGAGAAAGAAGGATTCTCAGTGACCCTTACTACTTTCAAGCATGGAACTCGGTTGCGAGTCGATGGAAGAGCACCAGTTAAATAAATTATGAGATATGCCCTGGTGAGACGATTGTTGCAGAAATGAGGGTGCGTTCCTACATAAAGGTCCATAAATAATTGCCTTGGAAGAACATCAGGGACTTCCCACAACTAGGGCCAAAATGTTAGTTTGTTGATCAAAATAAAAAAGGAAAATAAAGGAAAGGATAAGAAAGAGAGTGCATGGCGAGAAAACTAAATTGTAGACTAGAAACGTGATGTTGCCGCGAAAGCATGAAAGCGTAAAGAATGAAATAAAAGATGAAGTATAAAACAAAACTTAAAATAAGCTAGAAAGATGAATTTGGAGCAAAGTGCTGTAAATTGAATTGCAGAAAACTAAATACATCGAGTGGAGATGTTCACAACGAAATAACAAAAATCAAAGTTAAAACTAATGGCAGCGTAGAGTTAAAGACTAAATTAGGAAAGCAACTGGATCTAAACTAAGACATTGCTTATAAAACTAAAATGTAGATAGCGCTGGGCTAGTTGTGTGAGAGACTAGTCCTTTATTTCGTTTCTTCTTTGCATACTTATAGCAATAAACATCCCTTGACAACATGCTTGGATATCTATGGTATCAATTTTGAAAAACCAACGGCAATGTGATATCTGAAACAAACTGATTATCCTGTTAATGATGTCAATTATCCTCCTGGAAGTTCGTAACAAGCCACGACTTTACTGCAGTTGTGGAAATAACCACTCAATCTTATAGAGAGAGATTTACTCCAACTACTTTCAACTAATGAAATTCTTGTCAACATGGATGACACATGGCACCATTATATTTTTTTGCAAAAATGGGTGTAAACACATTGAATTACAAAACATAAATTATTGAATGGTAAATGAGCCCCCAATGTTAAAGAACCCACTTCATTTTATGGTTTAAGTTGTATAGTTTGTTGAAATCTAAATTACATAACAAATTTTTTTTTTTTTATAGGAGATGACAAGTGATTCAACTTGTTGGGGGGAGGGGGTTGGGAGAGAAGTTGCACAGCTTTGAACCCTTTTCAATGAGTAAAAAAACTTTTTATATTTAGCTATCTGGCCAATGAACTAGAAAATATAAAAATATTAATTAAAATTAATAAAAATATTAAAAATTAACTAAGAACTATAAATTTATATTTTTATATAAGGTGACGTGTAAAAATACTTTATGCACAGTATTGTCAAATAGAGTCCAAATTGGGAGGCAGGGAATTTGTGAAAAAGGAAGAGGACAATTTTATAAAACTGACTCCCTTTAGTTTAAAAGAATGGGAGTTTGCGAAGAAGGAAGAGGACAATTTAATAAAAA